TGTGTAAACTTCCTGTGCTTTAGGGATACAAAGATTCTGCTGTGTAGGAGCTCAAGTGATCTAGTAAGAAGGGCACAGAATTGTATCTGGATTGACCCTGTAATATATAACTTACAAGACTTTGGTTAGCTTTTTTTGCCATAATGAAGGAATCCATTATTTTTCACTTTGAATTGGCATATAGGAAGCAGAAAGGGACAGGAAGAATAAAAACTTAAGTGTTGATGTTTCCTGGGGCTGTCCTACCATGTTATAGTTGTATGTTTGATAGTCCACTATAGAATGGGAGAGACAAACAAATGAAACCTTTATATTAGGGAATATTGAATGTCTGAATTTGTGTGTGTGTGTGTGTGTGTGTGTGTGTGTGTGTGTGCATGTGTATGCTTTCACTATATGTTCTAGAATTTAATTACGCTATTGGTACGGGTCAACCTTTTCCCTTATGACTTGCATAATAAGTGAAGTTGAGATTTGTATTACTTCTTACTTTGCATCTAATATTTTCCTTTAAAAAGTTCTCATATTAGGATTGCATATTATTTTTGAGGGCAAATTGTTTTAGCCAATATAGTAAATGACCCTTTCTCATGAGGAAATGCACATTGAAAATAAAATCATTTTATGTGAAATAATAGAGCATTTTGAAAAATGTTAATTTTATAAGGTTATTTAAATTATGACTTGTGTTATTGATTGACACAGGGGATTGCTTATTGATTAATGTAACCTAGGTAACTTAAATTCTGTTTTAGAGTACTTTATTCAACTTCCTTATTAGCAGGAAGTGTTCAAAATGATCTTGATTAGAGGGTTAGAGTGTTGTGGTTAAGATTCCCAGTATGACAATGGAAAATCTATTTGTTCATCAATCATCAAAAATTTATTAAGCATATACTACTTCAGGCATAGTGCTAGATACAAACAAAAAATGAAAGAGTTACCTTACCAAAAGAGCTTACATTTTTTGGGAGGACAACATCTAAATAAATAAATAAATGTAAATATGTAAGTAGACACAAATACATAGATCTATATGCATAGAAATACCCATAGATTCTACCTACGAGAACATCCAACATCATAACCACAACACTTATTTGCAGAAACTATCATGTAAGTTGAAGGTACCATGAAAGACTTCATATAGAAAATGCTGCTTGAACAGGATTTTTGAGGAAATGAAGACTTCTAGGCAGAAGAAGTAAGCTAGAAATGGACTCTGGGCATGGTGGACAACTGATACAAAGGTACAGATATGGAATATATTATAAATGATGTGTAAGAATCAAATATATAGTATAACTAAACAATGTAATGTAGGAAGAGGAGTAATATTTAATGAAGTTGTAAAGATAGGTTGGGCCTAGGTTTTAAAAGCTAAACAGAGGAGTGGACTTATATTTAAGCCTAGAGGCTTAAAGAGGGAAACAGGAAGTGTATTGAATAAGGTAATAACACAGTTAGACATGCACTTTAGGAAGTTCACTTTGCTAGCTGTGTAGAGAAAAGAGTAGGAAAAGGAAGGCTAAAGCAGGAATATCAATTATAAGGCTATCACCATCATTAAGGTGATCAGGGATAGATAGATTTTATTTGATTTTATTTTTACTGTTGAGTTGATTTTATTTTTGGAATGGGAAATGCAGTAATAATAACTCACAAGTTGAACCACAGATAAACTTGTACTTTTTCTATTAACTTTATACTCTCAGAGTCTAGGCAACTCATCCTGAGGATGGCTGAAGCAGACTAAATTTCAAAAGATCCAGGTTAAAATCTAAAAAAGTATAAGTGTTGTGGTTATGATATTGGAGGTTCTTGTAGGTAGAATCTATTGGCATTTCTATGCATATAGATCTGTCAAAGAAAATCTTGTCTTATTGCTTTTTCCTACACAACATTTCTCATATCCACACTCTTTTCTCTCCTTACAGGATCTCCACCCAAATTCAGGCCCTGATCATATCTCAGTAAGAATTTATCAAGTACTGAGAAATAAATTGTAGAGATAATAGAATAGGGCTTTAGAGCCTTGAGGCATAACCACAGTAAGTGGTCACGATATTAAAAGCAAACCAGCAAAGAAGACTGAAAGAAAGTAGTAGTTGGACATGTAGGAGGAAAAACAAGAGAGAGCAATGTCATGAAAACTCAGTGAGAAAAGAGTCTCTAAAAGGAAAAGTTGTTTGTCAAGTCAAAAAAAAATTGTTGAATACCTATTATATATCAGGCACTGTGCTATGTGCTGGGGATAAAAATGCTAAAAGAAAAAAATAAAGACAATTCTGACTCTCAAAGGACTCACATGTTAATGGAGACAGTAAACATATAAAGGAAGTTAAAAAGTTGGGGTGGGGGGACACCCCTGTGGAAGTATGAAGGAAAGTCTGGAGTAGAGCCTGGAGAAGAATCAAGGCATGAATGGCCTGGGTTCTTTCCTTAAAACGAAGCTTTTGGGAGGGACCAGTCAATCTGAGGTAGTGGCCACAGGAGTGGCATGAACTTTACGATGTGAGAAGACAACTGTTGTCAAGGATTGGATGTTGTAGAGAGATTAAGAAGTTAAGAAAGGGGCAGCTAGGTGGTGTAGTGAATAGAGCTCTGGCCTTGGAGTCAGAAGGACCTGAATTCAAATCCAGCCTCAGACACATAACACTAGCTGTGTGACCTTGGGCAAGTCACTTAACCCCGATCGCCTCACCAAAAAGCAAAAATAAAAAAATTTTTAAAAAGTAAAAAAAAGAAGTTAAGAAGGATAAGCCTTAGAAATGACTATCAGATTTGGAAACTAAGAGATCATTAATAACTTTGGAGAGAATAATTTTAGTGGAATCATAAAGTCAGAAGCCCAATTTCACAAGTTTGAGAAGTGAGTGAGAGCAGAGGACTTGGAGGCAATGGTTATGAAAGGGAGCTGACATATAGAATGATAGATTGTTGGGATGTCAGGGTCTACTGTGGGTTTGCTTGTGTTTTGTTTTTCAGAAAAGGGGAGACAGGCATACTTATACTATAGTGGGGAGGAAGCAGTAGATAGTAAAAGACTGGACATTAGTAAGGGTCTGAGGATGACTATGGAGACAGTCTGCTGGAGATAATAGGAAGGGAGGGACTGAGGTTTTGACCTTGGGGAGAACAGACACCTCTTCATAAGAAACTAGAATATAGGAGAAAATAAGGGATTACATTAAAGTGTTTTGAAACATAGAAAAGTAGTGGTGGGTTACTTTTGGAGGTAGTTCCCAACACTGATGAAATCACACGTCCAAGTAAAACAAAGAAGTTTCCTGATCATAGTTAAATTTATATCAAGTAATATGCATATTAATATATACTACTATGTAATAATATCCTGTAATACCTATAATAGGGAAAAAACCATAAGCAAATTAGCTATAATTCCAAGTTTTATTCTATATGGAAGCTAATTTAGTGTGTGTGTGTGTGTGTGTGTGAGTGTGCACACCTGCATGTGTGCCTATCAGGATTGGCTTATTGCTAGGCCATAGCTGATAGAAGTGATTCCATGTTTGAGTACTGATTGACACACCTAAGTAAAATTCCTATGGGGTACTATGTACACAATAACTAACTTGGTAAGTTACATTAAGGGTTAGGAATTGATCCAAACTCTTAACATAGAAAAATTTATCTTTCCTGTTTGAAGCCTTCTTAAATTACTTGATTTCCTACCAATTATAGGGGGTAGGAGGAGGATCGTAGTCCAGACTGCCAGTGGATTAACAATCTCTAAGATCCTCCTTTTACTTACTCCTTATAAATGTGCCTAGAAACAAGAATAATATATAAGAGCAGATATCTAGTAGATCTGGGCTCTTGATGAGGGTGCCCATCTCAGGGTGCTCATCCCATCATATACCTAAGCCATTGTTTCTTTGTGTTCTTGTAGGACTTTAGGGCTACAGAGTCACATACTTGTATGCTTATGACACCAGATCCTTTCATTGTTTATGTTCCTTCTGGACACCCCTTTAACCATGATCTCCTCACAGTGCTTTGATCAGAGTATTAACTCATTAAAACTTTTGTTGATTTTATTCTCCTAATATGAAATATGGCATTTGTGAATGAAAGCTTGTAGTCAGGTGATAGACTCTTAAAGAAATAATTAAATTTAGTAATAAAAGTTTATACCCACCAAATTAACTGATATTCTAATTATTCTCCCCTCTTTGAGCTTTAACTTTTTAATTTTTAAAGTTGGACATGTATTCATTTCATGAAATCTCATCATATGTTTTCATGACACACTGGAAATCAATTTTTTTTTAAAGCCTCAATACTTTTCTCTAATATATAAGGAAGAGAAGATACTATAGTAACAAATAAACAAAACCCACATTGCTTAATAAATAGTGAATGTGTGTGTGAAAGATGACCCTTGGGAGGGGCAATTTGTAAAAATATACATATTCTATGTGTTAAAATATACATTCTGTGTTTTAAATATACAAAAAGTAATATCTGTTTTTGTTTTTAACCAAAATTTCCATCCCACTAATAATTCATTTTATTCATTTAAAAAATCAGTGAAATATATTAATAGTATCCTTAATTAAATCCACTACTAGGAAATAATTTTAATTCATAAATGAAATGCCTCATATTTCTTTGTTTCAAATGCTCATTCTATAATTTATCCATGCAATTTTATCATCATGAGACAACAATATAGTTCAGCAATTAAGACCTTTAAAGAAAACCAAAACTTCTCTTTCAATGTGCAAAGATATTTCATTTGGTTCCTACAACAGAAAGTTTAAAAGCTTTGCTTCCAAAAACATTTTTAGTAACAGAATAGTAAGAAGTATTAACTAATGGGTTTTTTGCTCTTTGAGTAGATGTTCTCATTATTTGCTGTGTAATTTTGCCAGGATACAAGTGCTCAGTATTATCTTAAATAAAGGCTATGATTATATTTTCTAAAAATCTGTATTTCAAAAGCTTTAATTGTTAACATTAATTTCCTTTTATAGTCACAAATATCAATCAGTGTAGAAGACTGGGAAGACACCAAAGACACCAAAGAACAAAGTCACCACCGCAACAACCACCGCAATTCAACATCTAGTGACCAATCCGATCACCCGTTGCTGAGGCGAAAGAGTATGCAGTGGGCACGTCGGCTCAGTAGAAAAGTGCCGAAGCACTCTGGTAAAACAGCTGAAAAAATAAGCCAACAGCGACTGAACCTGTATAGGAGATCAGAACGACAGGAACTTGCTGAACTAGTGAAAAACAGAATGAAGCACCTGGGTCTCACTACAGTGGGTTATGGTACGACCTTTAAAAATAGTACTTGACTTTTTTACCCCCTAATTGGGAGCTGTTCAAGGAGATGTACATAAATCAAGTAATTTAAGAAGGCTTCAGATAGAACGAATCTTTTTTTGTTTGTTTTATTTTTTTGTCTTATAGTTCAAAAGATATAGATTGTTGGAAAAGTTTTGCCAACTTAAATATAGCTCTGCTCCTTTATGTGTATAAACATTCACTACACAAATCCAAACCACTGAGTTTGAAGCATTGGGTTACAAAGCGTTTCTGTAAACCCTAAATTGACTAGAATGGCAATATGAAATTTGCTCAGGGTAGTTTGCCAGAATTCTTCTAAATGATCGTCTGTGTTTCAGAGATCTAGTACCAATACTTTTGGAGCTAGAGTAAGATAAGGAAAATGACAAATCAGGGTAAACAAATATTGTGGTCTCAGTTTTAGCTCACCCTTGTTACAATTTTCCTGAGAAAATTCAAGGATAACTTATCATTTGTCCCTCTGCTCCAACACTCCCAAATAGAAGGAATTTGAGAATAATCCAAATGACAAATATTTAATTGATATAATTATTTTACCTTAGAAGGTTCAGTACAGGGCATGTCAGAGGAATCATGATAATGAAACGTTTATTTTTTGCACTGATTTGGGTTTCATCACTTATGTATGTATGTGTATGAATACTTAGAAACTCTGATGAATTTCTGATGTCGTAAATGGGATATGCCTTGCAGTAATACAGATTATAACCTATCCCTACTTTTTCATCTTAGCCAATTCTTCTTCATATTTTTTTCATAAATTTTTCATAGAAGAACCCAATATGCTGGAGCATTCTCTCACTCTCTCTTTTTAATTTTATGACTGCCTCTGTTGCCTTCAGGACATCTGTCTGGTATCTCTTATTCTTTCCAAATTATTTGACTGCCTGCCTTTTCTTTTTTTATTAATTATTTTGATTTATCAACAATCACTTCCTTGAAAATTTTTCTCCCCCTCACTTTCCCCCTCCCTCCCCTACATGGTGTGCAATATGATATAGACTATACATATACATCCCTATTAAACATATTTTCACATTAGTCATGTTATAAGGAAAAATTAGAACCAATAGGAGGAACCACCAGAAAGAGGAAACAAAACAGAACAGAAGAAAAAAATAGCAAATAGTATGCTTCAATCGCATTCATACTCCATAGTCTTTTCTTTGGATGTGGATAGCATTTTCTATCATGAGACCTTTGGTGATGTCTTAGATCCTTGCATTGCAGAGAAGGGCTAAGTCTGTCAATGTTAGTCATTACACAGCGTGGCTGTTACTGTGTACAACCTTCTCCTAGTTCTGCTCACTTCACTCAGCATCAGTCCATACAAGTCTTTCCAGGTTTTTCTGAAGTCGGCCTGCTCATCATTTCTTATAGCCCAATAGTATTCCATTACATTCGTATACCACAACTTGTTCAGCCATTCCCCAATTGATGGGCATCCTTTCAATTTCCAATTTTTGCCACCACAAAAAGAGCTGCTATAAATATTTTTGTACATGTGGGCCCTTTTCCCATTTTTATGATCTCTTTGGGATACAGCCATAGAAGCTGCCTGCCTTTTCTACAATTCTACATCTCCATGAAGATAACTTGTAAGTTATGTTTTATTAATCTTGGATCAGATTTTTCAGCCTACTTAGACCCACTTTATGTCTCTCTATAGCCCTTTGGATCTCTTGAAATATTAATCCTCCTGAAATTGTTGCATTTAATTATTAGCAGATAGGTAGTGCAGGGAATGGAGTGTTGGACTTGGAATCAGGAGACCCAGATTGAAATTATGCTTCAGACGCTTGCTGTATGATCATGGACAAGTCACTTACCTCTCTCAATCTAAATTTCCTTATCTGTAAAATTGGCATCTCCCATGGATGTTGGAAGGGTCAAATGAGGTAACAAATGTAAAACACTCTGCAACAATTAAGGCTTTATAAAATGCTAGCTCTTTACTATTAATAGTAATTTAATATACTAGTACAAAAAAGTAATTCTTTTTTTGGAAGTTTGGTTTTAGTGTCAGAGAGCATAAAATTGTGTTTCTTTTTAGTACACATTTATTCCATGTGCCTTTTGGTGAAGCCCAGTCAATCTTACCATTTTTCAGGATTGACAATTTGAAACAGTTATTTTAAAATTAAAGTAGTATTTTCAATGGATTGCTTTTTAACTGTTCTTATTGCACATAATTGAAACTTCTATTCTTTCTCCTAATCTGACATCAGTTTTTGACCTTGGCTCTAATTGCTTGATGTTCTCAGTGCACATAGGCATCTGATGCTGAAATGACTCCTGAATCAGTAACTAGTTTTTTTCTGCCTGTTAAAATAGACAGTTTCCTTTGCTATGCTATTATTTGGAAGTGACAAACTGCCACTTGTAAGCAAGAGACACCATGGTTGAAATCAATAGATGTGTGGCATTTGTACATAGGCTCACGTTCAGCAAATATTTTGGAAGAATAACAACAAAATTTTATCCTACCCCCCAAAATAAATAAATAGAACGTTAAATAATGAGCTTATTAATGATATTCACTGAAATTCTGTTCTCTTGCCATAATTTGCATTCTTTGTTAATACTAGCTTGATCCTTATTTCCTGAGACTTTAACTTAGTATACATCTGTGTTGTTTGACAAACCTATTAATATATTACTATTTTTGCTTGTTTCTGCCAAAAAGTTGGTAGAATGTTTTATGTAACAATTATGACTTACTTGCGGTGAAACAAGTTGGTTTTGCCTTCTTACATGGGGAATCAAACAATACTTATGAGTTTTTGCCAATTACAACATTAGGAGGAAAGAAATGGTACTAGTTTGACCAAAAATTCTCAATGGGGTTGTAGCAAACAAGTCTGGATATAGGCAAAAATATAATATATGAATTTTTTTGGGCATCACCTTCTCATTTTCCATCTCTTCACCCAAACCTCTCACACCTTTCTTGGCTCCCTCACACAGGAAAATAAAACTTTAGATCATTTGCTTATTTTTTAAATACAGTACTAAATTTGGAGTCCAGAAAACCTGAGTTTAAATCCTGTTCTTAATACTAACCTATGTGATCATATGCAAGATATTCAACATCTCTGAATCACAATAGTTTGAGAGAGATAATAGCACTGACCCTCCTTTTATCTTTCCAGGTTTTTTTTTTTAATTTTGCTTCCCTCCCCATGCTCTAAAATATAGCAGCACTGCTGTTGCTATTACTTTCACACAACACTCCAAGTGCTGACTCAATCCTTTTCACTAGCTATCTCCCATGCCTGGAATGTTTTTCCTCTTTGTCTTCACCACCTAGCTTCCCTGTCTTCCTTCATGACTTAGGTCAAGTCTAATTTTCTGCAAGAGATCTTTCCTGCCCCTGCCAGTCATATAACTGGCACTATATGATACTATATGACAGACACTAGTCATATAGTGTCACAATATTAGAACCAAATCTCTCCAGATAAAAGCTAGGGTTTCATACTGCCTTTGTTAATAGGACTCAACTCCAAAGCTACAGTGTTTTGGAAATGCTGACCAGTGCAGGACAATCATAGAAAATAATTGCATCCTCAATCCTTAGATTAGAGCAAATAAGAAATGAAATTGAGGAGTCACTTAAATTTTCAAAGGAACAATCTGAAAGTTCTGCAGATTGGATAAAACTTAAATGCAAATTCCAAAATTGCATTTAATAACAAAATAGATGACAAAAAAGCAGCAGTAGCATAAATGATATTGAAAATAGTACGGGCATACTTATAATGGAATTCCAAAAGGCCTTTTTTTGAGTTTGATAAAATAAAGCTAACTAGCAGATACATTATAACAAAACCCACTAATTCTAAAAAAAGTTATTTTATGCAAGAAACATCATGAATAAATACATTTTCTGACAGTATTTGACAGAAGGTGTAAAAAGATTGCAGGACCTGTACTTTGCAGTAAATGCAGTAGCCTTTGCCGCAGTAAGAATGACAAATACAAAGCTGGAGCTATCAAGGAATAACCTTAAGAACAAATGTCAAAAACCACTCTGGCAGAAGTGATTTGAGAGAGCTGTTAAAGGTCTGCGGAAATAACATTGGGGAATTAAATCAATATCTAGTTGGTACATAAACTTGTATGTTATATTGCACAATAAAAGGAAAGAAAAATAAAACATACAAAAAGGATTGTAGAAAACAAAAGCATATCAGAAACTCTTAATTCTGTTAGCAATTGAAAGCAAAATTCAGAAGTTTAAGACAAAACAAGGACAAAACAAGTTTGAGACAAAGCAACCCAAAGAACAAATAATCATTCACCACCAATTATAAATTTGAAGAGAAATAAAGAAAATGAGGTGAGAAAAAAAAAAAAACAGGAGAGTATGGAAATGTGTGGTCACCAGTATTGTCTTAAGACATCCAAAACAAGAAAAACATGTTGAACCAAATGTAAAACAGAAAGTTTGCACAGGGCTTATATAAAGAATGACAGTATAGCCATGTTCAAAGAGGTGATTGAAAATCTGCCTTCTCTGTGATGCTAGAAAATGACAGACAAATAAGATGCATAACTATTATCTTAAATGCTTGACAGTAAGTCATGATTTATGAGGGAAAACAATTTCAGCTTGGACATGAGTCTGATTTAATTTTTCCTCAAAAAATGCAACACAAACTTTGCCTATTACTGAAAGATAAGAACAACAGTGACCCCTCCAAATACAGGCCAATTACATATTTGTGTACTTTATGAAAAGCATTCACTGTTAATATATTATATATGTTTATATATACACATAAATTACATGCACCTATGTGTATATTTTCAGGAGAAAACAATGTCACCTGAGGATCAAAAAAGCATGCCAAATTTTTTTATTATTGATTTGGAAGTTGCTACGCAAGCTGCCCAAAGTGCTATGACATTTATTATTACCAAACCATGTTATTAATCCCTTGGTGTTCATGGATAGC